TAGCTGTTGCCCAAGCTGGAGTGCAGTGGCCCCATTATAGCTCACTGCAGCCTCCGCCTCCTGGATTCAAGTAATCCTTCCCTCTCAGCCTCCTGAGTAGGTAAGATTGCAGGTGAGTGCCAGTACCCGGCTAATTTTAGTTTTTGGTAGAGACAGGTTTCACTGTGCTGCCAGGGCTGGTCTTGAACTCCTGGCCTCAAGTGATCCTCCTGCCTCAGCCTCCCAAAGTGCTGGGATTACAGGCTTGATCCACCACACCCAACCCATTGGAACTCATAGCAGCAGGGCAGGGGCAGTCTGGAGAAGGCAAGTGAGCCACCAGTTTGGGACTCACACTGCTAGTTTTGCCCCACACCTGTGCCTTCCTTGCCAGCTTCCTTGCCCACCCGTCAGATCCTCCACATCTGCAAAGCAGAGATGACCTGGGGCAGAGGAGGCTGCCCACCAAGAGACTGGGACCAGAGGCTGTGGCACGCTGGGTACCATGTGATGTAGGGACCTGGGCATTCAGTGCCTCCTTGCTCCAGCAGACTGTTTCCCCATCTGTAAAAGGAGCATGAGCAGATGTTTAAAAGCTAAGGTGTGGAGGTGTGGATTTTTTGTGTGTGTGGAGGCCTGGAGAGTGCAGGACTTAAACCCCACCAGCCAGGCTCACATTCAGGTGCAGTTTGAGGGGACAGTGCTGATCTAGCCCCCTGTGAGCTCTGGATGGGAAGAGGTTGACCATTCAGGCCCTCTCTCCACCCCAGGTCACAGTCTGACTGCCCTGTGCTTGTCCCTCAGAACCTAGAAGTCGGGATCCGGAAGAAGATCGAACATGATGTGATGATGAAAGCCAGCAGCAGCCTGCCCAAGAAGCTGGCACTGCTGAAGGCCCCGGCCAAGAAGAGCAGGGCAGCTGCCACCACCTCCTCCAACAAGGCACCTTCCTGAGGACACTGGCCCAGCGCAGGCCAACACCCTACCCCACACCTCCACGATGGGACATTGCAGTGATCCCACAAGCTGCAGTCTCAGGAAGAGGACCCTGTCCCCCAGCTCTGGGCCTCACCTAGAACTTTAGTGGGGGCCTGGCCCATGGGCAGGTGATCAGCAGATCTTAGCATACTGAGAACTGTCCCATGCCCCTACCCAGGTCCTGCCTCCACAGGTTTAACCCAGAGTAATAAACCTGGCTTTGTCATATGTCTTGCAGTCCTATGTTCCGGTGAGCAGGACAGTGAGCCCACAAGTCTCCATGAGCCACATGGCCTGGCCTGCCCCACCCCACCCCACCCTGCCGCCCTTAGCAGCCCTATGCCCAGGGGACAGCTGGGCTTCTTTCTGCGCCTCTAGCCATGAGCCCGAGACCCGGGAAAGAGTCTTTTCTCATTTAACCCCTGGTGTCTCTCTCACTCCTCCTGGTCAGTCCTCAGCCCTGGGGACACAACCAGGGTCAAGCTGGACATGAGTAGGTCAGATGCCACTTCATGGCACCAAGGTGCCGATTAAACCGGAATTCATTCAGAAAACACGTGGTACGACCCGGATAAAGAGTGCCAACTGTAAGGGACTCAAGACAGCCAGCATTTAGGTAGCGCTGCCTATGAGCCAGGCTACACTCGCCCAGACAAGTGCAGTGGCACGATCATAGCTCACTGCAGCCTCCATCTCCCAGGCTCAAGCCATCCTCCCACCTTAGCCTCCCGAGTAGTTGGAACTACAGGCATGCACCACCACGCCCAGCTATTTATTACTTTTTGTAGAGATGGGTCTTGGCTGTGTTACCTGAGCTGGTCTCAAACTCCTGGGCTCCTGCGATCCTCCTGCCTCAGCCTCCCAGAGTGCTGGGATTACAGGTGTGAGCCACCAGTTCCAGTGCTTTATACATGTCACCTAGCAGGGTGCCCCATTCAGGTCCTGCAGAACATTCCAGAGTGGAATTGAGGCTGTAGCTGCCAGAGTCACGATCCATGCTCTCAGCTGGCCCTCTGCTACCTGTCAGTCACAAGACCAGAATTCACTTCTGTCCTGGGGTTACCCCACCTCCAAATTGTTCGGGTCGGCAAGGCCAGACAGTGCCTGTGGAATATTCTGGGATCTCTGGCCTGATGACTTTCCTTTTCTTCCTTCACTGGAGCCAGGTCAAGGTCACAGCACAGGGAACAGATAGGCTGCAGTCAGGGTAATACTGAATTGCTGTCTTTGGG